CCGCTCCGCACACTTCCGCTCTTTTCCGCAGCGCGCTGCGCCGCCTTGTTGTCAAATTCTATAGAAAAACAAGTGCGCCCGATACTTCTCCGCTCGATCCATTTCTACCGAAGCGGAGCGGAGTAAATGCAAATAATGGAATCTGATTAGTTACTCGAAAAACTGCTTCGCTCCGCACCGCTTTAGTGGAAACCGGGTCTTAACAGTGCCAACGTATCCCGGTAATGCAAGTTCCAAACAATGGGCGGTTTTGTAACAGCCAGAGCTGCATATTCGCTAATTTATAATTAATTATCGATGCACGCTCGATGACCTTGTGTCTATTCAATTAGGTGTTCGTGTTCTTAATACCTAGTGCAATAATTTACTCGTAATGCATTAGTGATTAGATAATGTAAACCACAAAACATGACACGGCTTACTCAGCACTTTTAATTTATGAACATTTCAACATGTTCCTTTTATTATAGCCTGACCAGGAACATAAAAACCCTGGCATAGAGGCGCGTCAATTGCATTTGATAGTGCAACACTGAGTACAGTCGTACATGTGTTAAATTAAAATAGGCTAAATTTATGTATCAGGATTCAGGATTAGGGGCTAATCTGATATTTTCATAAATTAACGAAAAAATATTATTAAAGGTAACCTGGTTTAAATAAATTAAATGAAACCATCTAGCTAGTAGGATTTATTTTATTATTCATCAATAATCAAATTCAGAACTTGAATATTCAACTGCAATGTTTGCTCATTAACGCTTCAAACTCGGTACTTCTTTCCCAATTCCATAAAATTCAAAACTTAGAAAGTGACAAAAAACTTTGAAATAGGTAGTTGAAACAGACTACAGTTAATTTTCATAGTGGACTGTACTATACGATAAACATGTCAGTCAATTTGACAACCTTTGTCGGAAATATTAATCAATGAAAATATTGTCCGAACCCTTGGTATTTCTCTTCGACAAATACATTAACACATTGTGAACCACTTTTCTTTCACGACTATAAAAATATTTTAGCAATTTAATTCACAAAATCAATTGCACACATTTAAAATAAAGTTTGTTTACACTTTGACAANATCCGGTATCCGGCCAAACAACTATCCGTTTCATCTCTAATGTAAACCACAAAACATGACACGGCTTAATAATAATATTAATTTATGAACATTTCAACATGTTCCTTTTATTACTAACATGTAATTTCCGTAAAAGTTGACAAAATCAATTGCAAACATTTAAAATAAAGTTTGTTTACACTTTGACAACAATAGACTGACATGCAAGGTGACATGTAAATGAAGTTTTCAGTTACTGTTGCCATTAAAAGAAATTAGTACCATTAGTTTTCCGCAACATGGCGAGGGTTTTTATGTTCCTGGTCAGGCTATAATTTTATAAAGTTTTCTATAACGCTGACTCTATGTTCTGGCAAAATACTTGTGTGCCTAAGCAGCAACGTTTTTAAATACTTCTTTCAGCAAAACTATGAAAATGTCTTCTGTCTACGATTGTCTACCATCTGTTATGACAGACATCTTATGTCGTTTTGTTTGATTTGTGTTGAAGAAAATGCATCAATTTAATTTGCAATGCAAAAGTTTTTCTCTAAAAATAACGTTCAGTGAAAACTCTCTATCATTGTGGTGCTTTAATTCAAGAATTCAATCAATTCAAATAGCGTGACATTTCCTGCATTATTAACTATAATAATTTCATAATAATCGATATTAATACACATAATAAGAATTAATTTCCCGTGCACAGTGGGCACATGTGCGCGCACGCAAGGGGCACGCGTGGTCGACCACTCTCGCCTGCAAGTTTACTAACCGAGTGGGTGTTTTGTAAACACGCGGCCGAGATGCGATGTTTTCGATCAAGATGATTCTCCGTGAGTATGTTTTCAAACATGTTTTTCTCCGATTCAAATGATGTTTTGACTAAACGGATTATGAGAAAGAAAGCATCTTTTGAATAAAGAATTCTTATTGAATCCACTTTTTCTCGGACTGTTTTCGAATTAGTATTATTTAAGGTTGTTTTCTTACTGTAAATATGTATCTGTAATTAACAGCTGTGTATTTCAAAATCTGTTACATAATTTATGGTTGCACTACTTATATTAAAGGCATGTACATTATACTGTCCTATGGTTGAGATTATGATGATGATGATGATGGTACTGTACCTGTTTTTTTGCTACTGGTGGTACACAGTCCCACCAATACCCCGAACGTAGCTTTCACGCAGGAAAAATTGGTTAGAAGTTATTAAGTTATTTTAAAACGAATACTAGGTATTTCCACCGAGCTTTATGTTAAAAGTTGTATCATACCTAGTCACATTACAAAATTTCTTATTTCTAGTTTGTGGCGTGATGAAATAGGAAACGATTGAAAAGCGTATACTGCACAGTTTCTTTGCTACACTGTTGATAAGAGCCTTATCAGTGGTCATGGCTTAATTTAATTACTTACGTTACGTTTTTACTGTAAACATAGCTAGCGAGCTATGTTAGGTGTTTGAATAGCAGAATTTACTCTAAAAATTGTTAAGATAAAAGGGATCTTGGGTTCTATTTGAGGCCTTTCAACTGGAAAATAATCGTTATCATTTGTTTTCTTTCTCTTGTAAGTAAAAAGGTTAAGATCCTCAGCTGTGAAACTATGTAAGATGGCGATAATTATAATGATTATGCTGACGAGAAGAAAACAGTGTTATTTGTTAGTGTGTGAAGTATCCCATAGTTTTCTATGGCATGGAAGAACAGAGACATTGTTGAAGGCATCCGCAGCCTTCGTGTGCCGAGACAATATTGTGAACAAAAACTAATAACATCGACGATAGAAACTGCTCTTTGTTTCAATACACAAGATATTGGAAATATCAATGCTTTATTAAAAAGGTCAAAGTTTTAGATTGATGAAGACAATAAGAGAGATAGTAGAAATAATTATCTAGTTAGGTACATTACTGAAATAGATATCTATTAAAATTAGATATTAGGATCTCAGAGCTTTTCTGTAAGTAGTTCATAAAGATAATGCTCTTTGAAAATTAATTCAGTTTAACTTTATTTTATTTTATTAGCAATACAGTTGTGTAACAAGTGTTTTAAAGTGGGAATCTATGAATTAACAATAGAAACAATTCAAAATATGCCAATGCCAAAAACAAAGACAGAATGTTTCGAATTTGGCTGAGCATTGAAATAATTTGTGCAATTTAGCGTTCTCGTGAGTATGTGCTTTAATTTATTAGCAAACTTGTTGCTAATGGTCGAGTCGTGTTTTACGGTGTAAATATTTTAATGGCTATGTAATAGAAAACTTCGTTACGGCCTAATAGTTATTGAATAGGAGCAAAAGAACTTTAGCTTTGGTAAAAACTCGAAAAGTATTTTTCGATTTGTGCAATCTCCTGCAAGGTCGGTTTTGGCGTTTCGCCATGGTTATTGGTGTTACAATGCCTCCTATTACTATAATCATTTATTGCTACGGTGTTAGATTTAAGTATCATTACAATAAAAGGTCAATCGGGCAATGTATAAGGCTATTATGTATTGAACTTTAGATTGGCTTAAATAAAAAGTATAAGCCTGTGTTTAGTAAATATACACTATCAATTTCCATCAGGTCAGATGCAGTTTAAGAGCTTCCTCATTGTGGAAAAAACATACAAAATTTAATTGGTCTGCTGCAGTTTTTTGTTACGACAGTTCATGGTCAATGAATCCCAAATATGTAATGGCCAAAAATACGCCCAATGGTAAAAAGTGAAAATTAATGGGACAAAAATAAAAAAATAAAGTGTCAATAAGTATGAGATGATATAGCAAAGATAGTATAGTTAGGATTATTATAGACGTTTAATAAGTTTTAAAATTTATTTGAAAATGCGTTTCAATATTTTGTTTCATTAAATTTTTCCATCTACCTGGTTAGTGACATCACTATGCGCGCCAGAGCCGTGAGTCAAGATGCATTGACAGAAACGTGCTCCGCTGTGATATTGTGAACGTTGGAATTTTTAAAAAGCAGCCATGACGTCATCCGTTATTTTAGTCTATAAAATTGTTGGCAGAGCGCTCATTTTTGACAGGGTGAATGAGTTCATTAATCTGTTAATTGAAACTTATCATGATTTTTAAGGAAAACTATGGGTATAATTTTTGAAGTCTTTAAAAATATACTTATGGACTTATCTTAAACATTTATGGTTATTCTTAATTTAAAGGTTTATCTTTGGATACATTTTGTTTATACACAAGGTAATTAAGAACCAATTTCAATCCAATAGAACCGAAGTAAATAAGTATGAAGAAGAGAGATACATACCTATAAAATATTTATATAACAAACAATACTACTTTTCCCTCAGCGTACATATTTATTTAAGGATAAATGTACTTGCGGGTAATTTACAGTCTGGTAGTTGGCTGGTTGTTAATTGCTGTCTAGCGCTGTTGTGATAATAACAATATAAATAACGCGAATAAAGCAATGTGTGTGTGTCAGCGAGCACAGAGCCGCGGTAGAGCAGGTAGAATAGCAAACAATGATAACGTCCCCCATTTTAAAGCATTTCACTTGACTGCGCCGGGACAATCGAGGCACCTGACGATAGGTTTCAATAGATAAAAATTTTACGCATTTATAGAGTAGATATTTTTTACATTTATTATTATTTATTTTTTATTAATCACAAAATAATCTGAATGAAGAAACCTATGTTTCCCAAAGTATCTTTTAACGTGAAATACCAAATTAAATCAATTTTCAGTTTAATTTAATAAAAATAGATATAATTCTCTTTATAATAACAGTATCGTTCGTTAGCAGAAATTATTAAAAAAATGTGCATTTGTGAAAGTTATCTCGTTTACGCCGCGTGCACATCATTACCGTTAAACAAGTACTTCTAATATTCCACCAGACACCAAGTTTTGGATAGTATTGTCTTAAGTTTGATACTCAAAAGAAAACATACCTTGACCACTAATTGCCCGCCAAACTCGTAGAGCGTCGTCACCGATGCCAAAGCCTCCAACTCAAGGACTAAACACAACACAAGAAAAACTTGTTGTCACTGTTTCGAAACCACTCAGACACAAATGCTGACGAGGCAACTCCAATTCACAACAGCAGGGGCACAAGTCAGAGTATTTCCACGTATGAAAAAAACTTTTTATCAATGTTAGATTGCAATAACTTGTTTTATTTACGAACGTCACACATCACTATACAGAGTATACAACACAGGTGCGAGATACGCCAGGGTTCCGCGGCGACTGAATGTGCCGCCAGACAGGGACGGCGCGATGGCGCTAGAGTGAGACCGCCGCATCGTAGGTGGGAGGACGACCGCTAAACACCAAGAATGCACAGTGCTCTACTTTTATTGCACATCCAGCACAATATTTTGACTGATATTTTTTTTTTCTATGATCGTGCTAGCTAGTGCCTCTTATTAATTTCACTGCTGATGATGAGACTAGTTCTAATAAACTTTTGTTTAGAGATGTGTCTGTACCTATACAATTAGCTTTCTCAGACAAGCAATTATTTGTCTAATTAATAAACACTCATTATCCCAATAAATTTAATTGATGTTATTTACTACGTTTGAAAGACATGGTTACTTGTAAACGATCAAATTTTTTGTAATAAATCTCATTTATTGTGGTAAGTCTCATTTTAATTACGTGAAATTTTAGTTTTCCATAGATCTGGGAAAATTAAATTAACTACTTTTCATTGTTATCATTTGTAACGTTTTGAAGTTAGCAAATCTTTTTACTTACCAAATATTTTAGTTTGATTATCAAGCTTAGCATAATAATATTTGTATTATATCGAAAACTCGTAAAGTAATACATATTTGCCTATTGTATTTTCTACATTTATGCACAATATATTATTATTATTATTCTCTTTATTAACTTTGGTTCTTAATTTTAAATATTTTTTTACAATGTAAATTATCAAAAAAAAAAAAAAAAAAATTCATTATAAAAAAATACTTAAAAATGGTTATTCCGCTGGTAGCGGAGCAGGGTATTATTATGATTATTGTTGATTGAAAAAGTTTCATTTTTATTAGGCACCTAAGTAAAACATCAATTTTACTGCCATAACCTTAACAAATATCTTTTGTCCGCGAACACGTGTACACAGCCCAATGTGCGCCCGTACCGCCTGTTACCTGGTACCGGGCGGTGCAAGCCCCGCGCTCTTACGTTTCAAATTTTTACGATCCTCTACTATGACAATCTTGGCATACTAAAATTTAATCGTCTTTGTTTTTTATCCCGAACGAACCTTATAAGCAGTGAGGGGTTCGAAGAGCAACAAGTTGCTTTGATTTTAAGTTGATAATTTTAAAAGTAAATGTAGAGTCATTTCAGTTCTTTAATAGCTTTAACGAAACTAATTTTTACAATGCGATATTCAATATAGTTTCTTTTGAAGGAGTTTCATTTACAATATTGTTTAAATATAGTGCGTTAAAAGGTTAAAAAGTCTCCAAAAAGCTACAGGTTGCAGGGATATTGTTCTGCAACAAAAGGTAACGCTTGCTACCCACGTGTTGAGCACAAAGGGATACAGGTTTATTGTAGTTTAATGTCTTTATTAAAGCTTTATATTGCTTACAATAACGTTTAACGCTTAGAAAAGCTTTCGACTACAATAATAAAAAATATCTTATTCAATTACAGTCATATCCTGAGAGCTTTTTGAACTAAATTAAACAACTTACTCGTTTCGTTAAAAAATCCCTAACAACATTTGAATCACAATAAGCTTTTAAATATAAAATGTATTTATAACAGACTTTGTAATTAGGTAATTTATATTATTTACCTAACAACATACCCACACTACAGATTCTGAAATTCTGATGTGCTTTAAAGGAGCCGTGAAACAGCTTTAACCTTATTATTTTCTACGCGATGTGGCGTTGTATATTTAATGTACATAGTTTCGAGTCGTAAACTGTATATTCTAAAAATATCATCTACGCACCACCAAAACAAACTTTATAACAAGTTTGATTATGGACCTAAATTTTATAAATAAGGTCATATAACCAATAAAAACACCGGTTGGGTTTCTCTAGATATCGCAAAATAAGTTTGTTGTTTCCTCATTGAAGCCGAAACGGGTTTGTTAACATCTAAGCACGTTCTGTCGTGATCATTGGTTAATAACGATCATACTCGTAGATATTGTGATAAATATTTACGTTTAGTAGACTTGTATAAATTGTTTGTTATTTGCGTAATCAACACAATTATCGATGAAAAAGTCTACTGTTTTGGGCGAAAAAGAAACCGGCGTTTTTCTCATGGGGATAATCAATATCTATTAATAAAAACATCAAAATTTGGTACAGCGGTTTAAGTTTAAAGATTACAGACTCAAGTATACAGACTAAAAACCATAATTATTTTTGCCTGATTTACGCATTTATTAAATTAGTTCGAGAGGCTCGACTTGTAGAGAGACTGGGCATGATGTTACAAATAGAAAATAAAAAAACTAGTATTCATCTATTCAGAATTAAATCATAATCACAGTCACCAGTCTAGTTAAAAAGCATATAAAATGTGTGTAGGTAGACAATAATCAGTGTCGTAATTATGTTCATAAATATCTTTTGACTGTTACATATTCATCGCAATAGAATAATATTATAAGTATAAAAGTAGGGAAAGTCAGTAAAACTGTTATCGGACTTGCAATAACGTTAATTAGAAAAAAATAGTGCTAATTTTCTTCTAAATTGTGTCCGGTAGCTTATGTGAAGCACGATTTTGTCAATTTTCACGATATCGTGTGGTTAGTAAGTATTTCAATTTGATTCATTTTTATTGGCGGTGTGAAAGTCGAGGCGAAAATTTAACTGTAATATGTAATAATATGCTGAATTGTAGCAGTGAAAGTACTTGGAACTTATGGTTAGGTAACTATAGAAATGTATATACATAAAAATGTATTCCTACATTTGTTTTTGTATACGAAAATGGGTATCGATTGCGTAAACTTCTTGTTTACATAATTATTAGGCATTGATTTTAATGCATTATGACATTAATGTTTAAGCGTTGAGATAATGTAATTATGTGAAAACTTTATTAATTAAAGATATCAAACTTTTACGTGAAGGTATACAAATGAAGATGGCCAGTTCCTCCGTAGTTGAGGATTCCGGGTGAAGCTCGCTTCCACCGATCGTCACTTACCATCAGATGAGATACCGGCCAAGAGCTTCCTCGTTGTGGATAAAAGTAAACCTAACTTGTTTTGATTTTTTTTTATAAATAAGGGAGTTAATTTAAGTCTCTTATCAAGATCATAGTAGGTGAACCAACATCGATATATCGTCTGTATTCACAAAGATTACTATGAGGTCTCACACACACAACGCACAGGGTGACACACGAACCAATCACAGAGCTCTATTCAACGTTATGCGTTCGATTTGCTGCTTCACTTAAGCAAGCATCGTTTGTGAATACGGCGTAAAGCTCTTGTTGCCTGAAAGTGATCTCTACCAGTAAACTATGGGAGAGAAAATACGGATAAAGAGTTGTTAACTTAGTAACTGTAGCAAATACTGTCTCTAACCTTGATAAATGCAGATAGCGATGGTATCAGTCTTCCGCCAGTGTATCTCAATGTTATATCATCATTACCTGATAAGGTGTGTCTCAAGAGTTTATACCTCATTCAGTTTATTGTGTAAGGGCGTAAGATTTGTTCACTCAGTAGGTAAGTGCAATAATATTATGATAATTATTTCTCTATAAGTCAAAATTATAACTGTGATAAAGATCTACTTTCATTTTTTAATTTAATTTAAAAAAAAATAACATTTCAATAAATAAGTAAAATTAGCAATACTTTTTCAGAATCTCTTGTGTTATGTCGATAGAATGTTGAATTTTCTTACTGGCCTTTTTCTTTGTGGTGCCACTAATGTTTCCTATTTGACTCTATTACCCTTATTTTGTTTTCCTATGTCAATTTTCAAGGTTCATTACTGGGAACCTCTTTCTCCACAATCGTGATTCAGACAAGTTAGTACAACCACGAGAAAACAGACAATTTATTGAACTATTTCAAAATGTAGAGTCACATATTTTTAGTTAAGTAGTACTTGCGTTGCGAATTAATATTTTTAATTACGTATCAATTAACTTAATTACTCATTTTAGGTTAATCATAATCACTTAATAACCCAAATCAATTGATGTAAATGTATTTGAATGTAAAAAGTGAGTCACTTAAAGCACTTATCACTTATTAAGGGTCATTAATGAGTGTCAAACGTTTTATTTGGGTTACGACGGATTTATGTAGTACCTTTAGGGCAAAAGGGAGAGCTGGTATTTATAATATTTACTTATTAAGATGGGAAGGGTGCGGTTAAATATTTTAATGGAGTATACGTTAACTTATTGACATTCATAAGATTCTATTTCTTGATCTTTCTAGATATAGGCTGTAGATATTAGATATAGTCAAAATTATAGATAAAAAGGATTCGCTTGGCTTGTGTTAGGACTCGAACCCAAGATACCACTGCATGCGTGTAATCTTTTAGTTTTCTGAAACTTTTTATTACTGTAATCTGATTTACTTAATAACTTTAGAAAGTGCATTTATAAAGAAAATTAATTATCTAACAAGTTTAATACTTAAATCTGTACCCCCAGTGAAAAGGGATCTAACTCGACTTAGATCAAAATTGACTTTATAACATAATGTGAATCTCTGAAAAATTAGCTATTTTTGTATCTAATCGGTATGTTTCTACGACGTATAGAAAAGAAAATAATTTTGTGCCAAATGATACAAGTAAGGCTTTGTGAACCAATTTTGAGTTTTCTTTCGTGTATATTGATACATGTCTACTTTTAACAAAGTGTACCGGAGGCTTCTTTCAATTTTTTATTGTGTCAAGAGGTACGACTCGTGTTACTACTTTTTACACGATTGAAGTTGTTCAGATTGAATTTGTGATTAACAATATAAGATGACTCATATTAATATACACAAAAAAAACTATGTATTGTTGGTTGGTGAAAAAGAATGTAACTTAATTTATATCACAAAAAGTAAAAGACAAATGATTATTTATTTTGTGTATAATGATTCAATTAGACTAATACCATTAACCACAAAAGTTTCGTACATGTGTAAAATGTTATCAGTTACTTAGATCAAAAACATTTGAAAATCGCAACTAATGATNATTTTTGGACGATTTACCCTAAATAACCTGAAATAATGATTCCTCATAG